GTCGACGACGACGGCGGCGGCGACGACGACGACGACGACAGCGGGGACGACGGCGAACGTGGAGAGAAACGGGACAACGGTTACAGCGGCGGTCTTCCGTTCGGTGAGTCTCTAAACTGTTTTCAGGATTTTTTAATTTAATGGAACCGAGATAAAAATTTTTTTTGAGACCATCTACTATGGTAATAACTAGTATACTATGGTAGTAATTAGTACACTATGGTAGTAACTAGTTCTAGTAGCATTGGTAGACGAATTTTGGATTTTCTAGCTTTTCTACCAGGTCTGAAGAGAAAATAGTTTCTTCCTCATCTTCTTCTTTTTCTAACGACAGATTTTATTCTACATCTTCCTCTAATGTCATAGGCAAAGCTAGAGATGCAAGTTCGACTACTAGCAAGGCTACTAGCACCAATTACAGGTCTAGCCTAGATGGCCCCTAAGGGCCACGAAGTTACGCAGCATGGAGTTAAATGAGGTTTTCCTCTCGGACCGTGTCCCTCTCCGGTGGTGGCTAGTTGGGGTTCCATATACCTGATCAGGTTTCACAGTAACTAATTGCAACCATTTATTGGTTCTGTATCATTTATGTGACCCGTTATTCCTTGAAGTGTGAACGGAGTGAATGGAGTTTACAAGTACTGTGAAAAATGCATCACTGAATGTTCTTTTAATTTTCAGTCAGTCTTATCGTGTGTTGCTTTGAAAATTTAATTAAATGTTTAAATATTGTTCTGCTAATAAATGTCTATTGAAAGTTTCTATTTAACATTGTCTACATAAAGTTTTTACATTACATTGTCTACATAAAGTTTGTACATAACATTGTCCACATAAAGTTTGTACATAACATTGTCTACATAAAGTGTCTACATAACAAAAATAATAATATACAATAACTAATGTATATTATTATTGTTGCATTAGTATGAATAGAGTTGAATCATCGATCGTAAAAATTCGAGCACCTTTCCCCCGAAACAAGCTAAGAACCGTAATTTGATCAGAATTCGTTTTATGCCCTGAAGACCCTTGTTCGCGAGCCAGATGGTTCCATTCCATCACGCCGGCCATTCGACCCACGCGTATTTCTTCGCTGTCCAAGCTGCGTCTTCGATTATTCCGTTCCAGGAGATTTGCTTTCGCGAGAGAGCGTATCCCGTCATTCTAGACGTCGCGATCAATTATTTACCGGGCTCGCAACAGCGTACAACGGTATCCAATTTAACCTTCGTCTCGTTCCATTATACACGATTTCCAGACGTTTATTGGCATCCAGATACAGGCAGACGGCCGATCGATCTCGCCCCGCGGTTTCGAGCAATGCTCGAATATCTCCCGCAGACAATAAGACTGCAAGTGGGTCATCCACCCAGAGATTACGTTTACGAGTTCCTTGAAAATAGACTCCCTTTCTCTCTCAATTTTCTTCTCGGTTTTCTTAGCGCGAGATCAAAGGGGAGGTTACATTTTCTTTGATTCGGGTCAGTTTCCTCGGCACAGTCCCCGTGGTACGGCTTCTTTAAAAAGAACCCTAGCCAGAAAAAATAGTCTCGAGTAATCTTCTGAAGAAAGCGGGCTCGCAGAGACTTAGTTCGATCGGAAATTGCAGGCTTTGTAAGACAAACGAAGAAAGGAAACTCGTTATTCGTCGACTGCTTCAAATTACTTTCGGCGAAATAACGCGCTCGATACCTGTGTACAGAACGCTCCTGCGGCATTTAATCCCGCTATGTTCATCGCGCGTGTCACGCGTGTCACGCGCTTCGAACCCCGCGCTCAGCCAATTCCCTCTCGAAGCGTTCGAGACTCTCGACAGAAGGGACTGCATTTTGCTCTTTTCGTGCCTTCGGCTATTCGATCTCCACGATTCAACATCGATGCGTACGGAAAATACTTTCGGGTGTTATCGATGTCGATGATTATTTCGCTTGCAGCGGAAAAAGAATATACAGGGTGAGACGCTTATAATAGGCCTTAAAAATGAGACATTTATAATGGGACTTAATAATGAGACACTTATAGCATGTTTTAATAATGAGACACTTATAACAAGCTTTAAAAATGAGACACTTATAATAAGCTTTAAAAATGAGACACTTATAATGAGCTTTAAAAATGAGACACTTATAGCATGTCTTAATAAAGAGACACTTATAATAAGCTTAAAAAATGAGACACTTATGATAGACCTTAATAATGAGACACTTATGACAGGTCTTAATAATTAGACACTTATAACAAGCTTTAAAAATGAGACACTTATAATAAACTTTAAAAATGAGACACTTATGATAGACCTTAATAATGAGACACTTATAATAAGCTTAAAAAATGAGACTATTATGATAGACTTTAATAATGAGACACTTATAATAGACATTAATAATGAGACACTTATAATAAACTTTAAAAATGAGACTATTATGATAGACTTTAATAATGAGACACTTAAAAAATGAGACACTTATAATAGACCTCAATAATGCAACACTTATAATAGGCCACAATAATAGGATACCTCAAATGGGATACCTGGTATGGTAATATCGTTCTAATGAAGTACCAAGAGTGAGGCCTCGGTAGGTGAGTGGGTAAGGCGTCGGATCCACGATCGAGGGACCCCGGATCGAATCCCGCTCCTCGGGCGCCGAAAAACTTTTTCCGAAATTGTACAATTGGCTTCGGTCTGACGTAGGGTTGCGGGAAATAGTTGTAAACGTCATGAGCCCCCACGGGGGTGGGGGAAGAAGGAAAGAAATACGAAAAGTGGGGGGGGAAGGGGATGAAAGAGAAAATACACCAGGATGGGGAGGAAAGGGGAGGGTCAAAGAGAAAATTCTCCCAATAGTGCGAGAAAGGTAGGAAATGGAAAACTGAGAAAATAAAACGTTTTGAGTCGTTCTGCATGGTATATCGCTCTGTAATGAAGTTCAAGAATTGTGGGAGGAAGGGGGAATGGCATCTCACAGTTAATAAATATGTTTGCTGGTTAGGTTAGGTTATTAGGTAATTATGTTAGGTCAGGTAGGTAATATATATGGATAAGTTGCAATAACTTGCAAAAACACGTCACCTTGAGATATATTTCTTTGACAGTAAAATTATAACCAGTGAAATTTTTTGAATCTGTCCTCATGTTTTTTACCACTGAATATATTTAATATATCTATCTGTGTAAAAATCGATAAAGAACTGTAGAAGCTTGAACAGTGATGTGAGTGAAAATGACACCGTATCGAATAACCGATCGCCCACGTAAGAAGCACCCTACCTTGTAGGAAAATAAAAGCGTTCGATCGCAAAAGATCGACCTGTTGGTCGCGATGCGCGAACTTGCGTTGTCCGTGAAAGAGTTAACGGTTAACCCGTACGAGGGGTTCTGAAGGACCTTGAGAGCGATGGGGAGCGACGAAGGGAAACAGAGAGAAGAGAGAGAGACGCTCGTAAAGGCACTAGAATTATCACGGTACGCTAGCCCTCTTCTGTTCCGGCTCTTTTGTATCGTTCTCTAGCGTGATCGTCGTAGCTTCGGGGGTGCCGGTGGAAAGGAACTCGAATCTTCTCTCGAACGATTTCACGCGTTCCGATGCTTCTCGCTTATCAACAGTTTTACCGTCGGAGAAAACTGAGAGAATAGCATGAATTTTGAGATGCATCGGAAAACGATGTTATTTAATTCGTTTAATATTCTGTTGCAGGCTGCGCTGTCACCGTCAAACATGCGAGAGCTTCGTACCGAGTGTGAACAGACTCCCTCGAATCAGTAATACGTTCGGAAGAGAAGCGGAATAATACTCGGTAAATGAGATTATACGACGTTTAAACGCTGTCAAGTAACTTTGATAAAGTGAGAGTAATGTTTCGCGTTGCCTTCGAGTTTGATCGATGCACAAATCCAGTCCCAGAACACAAGCTATCTTTAAGAATGCCGCGTTCAAAACGTCGAAGAGTACTACAGCATAGAAGTTGCGTTTTAACCGAAGCGTTCACACGAATAAATTATTGAAAGTAATGTTTCGCATCGCCTTCGACTTTGATCGCCGCACAAATCGAGTCCTATCTGCACTTGAGAACACCGCGAAACGTCGAAGGGTGTTTCTGACCGAAGGAACGCGTTTTAGAAGGGTGAAAACCCATCGAGCTTTGCTCAGCGTCGAAGGGGTGACTTAATCGCTCGTCACAGCCCAATTCAACCGATTCTATCGATGCACCGGTTTGCAAGCGAGATAATCGCGGATAAAGTCGCTGATATTATACAAAGTCGGCAAGAAGGAAGAGCACGAACATCTTTCAGCCCCGCGGGCAACGGTGTATAAACAGGGGAGGGGTATATCCGGCGGGAACAAGGAAAACGAGGAAAAGGGAACAAAGTGTCCCGAGTGGCTTGGGAGATATAAAACGCGAAACGACGTCGAGTCAGACAACGACTTTAACCGTGCGATCGAAATGGCGATTTAATAAATTCCTACCATAGAAACGTAAAGTCGTGATAGTCCTTACTGTATTTATTACATTTCTAATAAAATATAAATATCAGAAAATATCCTTCGTCTTTCTGTAGGAGCAAGATGTCAATGACGGGAAGCTTGATGGGCTACGAAAACAACAACGAAGTGAACCAAGCGAAGTGCAAGAAACCGTTGAAGCCCCTTCCGGTGGTGTCCAGCATAAATTCCAGCGGCGTGTCGAGCACCGCGAAAGCGAGGAAGCCACGAAGGTCGACGAGGCAAAGTTCGTGCATTCGAGGCCACGTGAACAACCTGTGGTCCGTTTGGTACGGCATTCTAGCGGTCGCGTTTCAAGCTTACATCGGTCTGCGCTACGCCAAGCGTTTCGCCGGTGAGTCGATCATTCTTCTGGACTATTGTCTACAAAGAAAAGTTGCTTGGAGTTATCGTTGCAGCGTATCTGTCGTTGCCATGGCCAGCGGATGCTCCACCGCCGAAGGTGGAGTTGTACGCGTGTCTGGTGCTGGCCGGTACCGGGGTGGTGCTTCTGCCGGTTCTGCTCGGCGCGGCGTTCCTGAAGCTCGGCAACCTGGCCAACGACGGAGTCAAACTGGGCCGTCACTTGAGCGCGTGCTCCCGCGACCCACCCTCCTCGCTGCTCACCAACAATCTCGACCACGGTAAGTACCTTCTCGACCTTTTGTTCGGCTCGTTCGACGGACTCGCATAACCAGCGACCTCTTTGATCGTCTCTGTGATTCCGTAGGTTTGGCGAATAATTTATGGCGGCACGGAGGTCCCACCGCGGCCTTTCTACACCTTTGTACGGCCATGTGCTTCCTGCTACCCTCTCTGCTCATGGAGGCCAGACTGATCCACGCTGGATTTCTGCCAAAAGGTAATAACGCACGAAACTTACTGCTCCCTCGGTCGAGTGCCGCTTCTCGAGCACGCTCGAAATCGACTGTCGGTCAAGCGTGTCCGATTAATCTCAGAGAATATAGCCGAGGTTCAATGTTCTCGATACGTTTACGCAGAATCATGCGAACAGCGCGCTAAATTATTCTCGCGTTATCGCGCCGAGATTGCTGGAACGATAAATACACCCTACGGACGAACGGTTTATTTCTAACAGGATAGTCATTCCTCGGGCAAAGTTTCTTGGTAATCCTACAACCAGTCACGCATCGGGGGTGAATTTCTCACTTTGCAATTTATTCTTTCCTCTCGGAAGGCTTCACCCTAAACGATTTTCCTTGAGAACAAGTTCTGTTCCTCCTTTCGTTTTGATTTTTAAATTAAGTTTGCGCTCGAAGGTATTTTTGCATAATTGCCATTATTATCCACTATGTTTATGCACCGTGTAACTGTAGATTTAGCTACAAAATATTTATTTAATTTTCGTTGAGAACAATTTCTGTTTCTCCTTTCGTTTTGATTTTTAAATTAAGTTTGCACTCGAAGGTATTTTTGCATAATTTCCATTATTATCCACTATGTTTATGCACCGTATGACTGTAGATTTAGCTACAAAATATTTATTTAATTTTCGTTGAGAACAATTTCTGTTTCTCCTTTCATTTTGATTTTCAAATTAAATTTGCACTCGAAGGTACTTTTGCATAATTCCCATTATTATCCACTATGTTTATACACCGTACGACTGTAGATTTAGCTACAAAATATTTATTTCATTTTCCTTGAGAACAAGTTCTGTTTCGTTCTATTTCTCCTTCCTTTTTAATTTTCAAATTAAACTTGCACTCGAAGGTATTTTTGCATAATTTCCATTATCCACTATTATACACAATGTTTATGCACCGTACAACTATAGATTTAGTTCCAAAATATTTCTTTCATTCTTGTATTGAACTGCATGGAGAATGTGAGTCACCTTTCGAAAAGAATCCTTCAAGAACAATATTCGATAACCAACGACGACGTCCGACTAATAGTAAGTAGTACGAGTCAACGCTTGCAGCAAGTTCCTCCGGTCAGCCAAGGTAAATGTTTTCCGAAAACGAGATCGCGAAGGCGGTAAACGAGAAACTCGCGTAAAGTGCAAAGAAAACGTGGCTTTTTAGCGAGCACGTTTTGGGTCTCCTCTGCGACTTGTCGTAATTTCTTTGAAAACGGCAGCCTTTGAAAAATTTCTCCTAACGAGACGCAGAGAACGAGTAAAAAGGAAATATGGCTAAAGGCGTGGAGCATCTTTGTTGTAAATATTTTTTCGCTGGGAAATATTTGTCTGTGAACAACGTTGTTTTCTGGTAGGAACTAGGTGGATAAACGAGGTGGTATCGGACGTCGTTCTTCCGTGAATGTTGCGCTCGTTAAAAAAGAGAAAAGAAGCGGCAATAAGATAGAAACTGAGCGACAACGGCAACCGATCGACCTCGTTTCAGGTTCCGAACGCTATCGCCACGGGGTAGAGCGACTCGCGCACGTAGAAAGATGGGGGATGGGATAGGGAAGTAGGGGGAGCGCGGTCGGGATGTAACGGGGCAACTTCGTCCTGACTACGTCCTGGTTCGCGTATTGATCGGCCAGGTGTGTGCATACGGTTTGCCGCAGGATCGTCTCTAGAATCCTTCCAGCCCGAATCGTCTAGCCAAGTCTCCTCCGAATTAGCGCGATCTGCCTTCGATCGATTCGTCCTTTTCTACGGAAATAGCCATTTTATTCTCGAAGGCCGCGTTATCGGGTTATCGAGTTATCGGGTCCGCAAGGTGATCCACTAAGGGGTTGATTTCGAAATAAACTATTCTCGTAACACCCGGTCCTATTTTACAGAGGCGATATGGCGTACGGATCTGGACTGGCTCGTGATTCACCGCGACCGCCTGGTCGTATCGAGCTTCATGAACCCGAACGTGAATCTTAGCATTCTGACCGGCTTCGTGACTCCTCAGCCTTTCGTTACCTTGACCCCCGACGACGAAGCGGATATAAATGACGTAGCTACCACTTTCTCGGACCTGGACGTCAGAACGGTCGAAACTCGAAGGGAGACTAACAAGTTCCTCGCATCGTTTCGACCTCCGAGTACCGGCCTTCCGCCACCCAACGCGCAAACTTCCACTAGTACAATTTCCGGTTCGAGCGCTATCGCCATCGATCCATCGACCACCACGTCGACCACGAGAAGCGTCGTCACAACCACGAGTACGACGAAAGCCACCGCGGAAACGGAACAATTGGAAACGACGATCGCGAGAACGACGCCGACGGTTCCAAAAACCACCACGGCCAGATACGGATACTCGGCCAGGCGATCGACCGTCAAGACGATCGTCAGGAACAATAACCTGAAGAACAGGTCCAAGACGAAAAACTTCGGCTTCGGAAGACCGTCGACGACCGTCAGACCTAGAGCGACCTCCGCAGGGAACATGACGGCGCAGAGCATGTCGCTCACGATGAACAGCCTGGCCGATTTGGATCACCCCGAAAAGTTGAACCTCGAGTTTCAACCCGGTAAGTGATCAAATAATTTGTCTTCTAACGAAAGAGATAACTGAGTTTCATCTTCAGCCGAATCTTACGGTCCCATTACCTTGGAATACCTGAACTACGCGATCGCCCTCGGCGTCTACTCCGTGAGGTACCCTGCGGTGTTCTGGTCCTGCAACAAAGCGCTGGGCACCATTTTCAGCTTCCAGTTGGTCATCAATTCCGCTCAGAGCCTGCTGGCGTACGTCGGAATGTCCGTTCTGTACAAGGTAAGTTTGAAACGGACCGTTCTTTAGGAGACAGTTTCACGGCTATCAAATTCAGGTGCAAGTGATGGGACCTCTGAAGGCGTTGCCCGTCCTCCGGCAGCAGTACCGCACTATCTCGACCACCAGCAGTATATCGACCATTTTCGGGGACTCTTACTTCCTTCTGAACCCTCATGTTACTCTGGTCCTGTTCGCACTGTCATCTCTGTTGGTGCTGTGCTCCAGCATGGTGATGTACTTCTACGCTTACGGCAGGTACGTAACCTAATCGTACGCAGAGTCTAACCATCTCGAAACTTTTAACCCCTTGCACTATGACTTATTCGCGTCAGAACTGATTACGGCTACAATATTAGAACGGACAAAGAAAATTGAAATGTTATGTCAATGTGTTATTACTCGATATGCAAATTATAATTAGACTTGAACTCCAAATTGAAGCGTATTAAAAATTTGAGTAAAATTGATCACGGCCGAGGTACGAGTGCGTCACGAATAAAGATTGACCAAGTGTACTTTGCAGGTTCACGGCGTTTTTGAACCAGGAACGCGAGCGCCGAGTGATCCTATCAAAGGAGAACCGAGACAAGAACGGCTGGGTGTACTTCATCCACTGCACGGCCCTCTGCGTTTTCCTGGCAATCGCGATATGCAGCGCACCGTTGCTCTACGACTACAGCGTCGTCTATCGGGGAAGTTTGGACGGGGTCATCTTGGCCTGCATCGTCGCCACGGTTCTGCATTTGTTTCTCTGGCTGGTGCTGTGGATCTTCCTGACGATCAAACAGCGTTGGACGTTCAAGTTGCGGGTGACGATCGGTCGAGCGACCGTCAGGTCGGCGAGGTCGGTGAAGCTCGTGACCGACGTGGATCTGTTGTCGGCAAGGGATGAGGAGGATGGCACCAGCGCGCCGTTGCTGGTCGTCGGTAACGGCAGAACCTACACCATTGCCGACGCGTCGCCCAAAAAGGCCATCATGAGCGTCATTCAGAAGGCGGCTATCGAGAGAAAAGCGCGCTCGCAAGGTAACGTGCGGTCGGAAAGAATGCAGGTGGAACTGATTGGGCGTAATAATTCGGAGGCTTGTTATTGTCCAAAATGATTGCTAACAGGATCGCGTGACGAGGGAGCGTTAAAAGAGGGCCACGTGCGTTCTTTCCAATTGCGACGTGTCAGCAGAACGTGATCTCAACGCGTTAATTTTGAATGTGTAGGTAACACCGACTCCGTCGACGGTGAATCGACAGTCGACGATGAACAGATCTATTGGTTGCGACCAAAGTTACGACCGTCGCCCACCAGGTCGCCCAGCGACGTGAACGGGGCGCCCAACACGGAAAAGGGTTGGCTGAACAAGAAATTCAAGCCCAAGGTCACCTTTAACGACCTGCCTAGTACGTCAGGCTCGCGGTAACTACCCTCCTCCCTCCTCTTGGTGTCTTTCGATGCGTCTCGCTGTCTGCCTGAGTTCCTCTCCGCTTCTCGTCTTTTCTCCTATTCTCTTTATTCGAAACGGGGATCCTTGTCTAATCGAGTTCCCTACGGAATTTCTCGCTTTCGCTACTGCGTACTTTTGCCAGGCTTATTACTGCTCTGCGGCGCTCGTGTTTGTAATCGTACATCTACCCTCGATACACTTTGTAAACTTTCTTTTTTCTTTTCTTTCACGCGTACTCGTATGTGAAGCATCGATCGCTTTTGAAGAAAAACTTTGAAACTCGTTAGCTCTTCGAGATTATGAACACGATTCTACTCGCGAATCGATCGATTAAATTGCCGAAAGAACCTCGAAGAGCTAAGTTGTTAGCACGCGTAATTTATTCGCTGTCGCTTATCTCTGTCTGTAATCTGCTTTGGATACGGATCGATCGAAAGATCTGGTAATCGCTCCCTCGATTCTCGCGCTCGAACAATTTCGGACGGTGTCTTTCTTTTCCGTTCTGTCTATCGCGCTACCCACCCTCCTCCTCCATTATCCGTTTACCCCCGTTTCTAACGTATGTCCCCGTAATTAACGACGGAATACGCTCGTCTATTCGCAACGAGTTCGTCTAACACGCTCCATGTGCGTTTCGATTGCAGCAATAAGGGAAAAATCAGACGAGGTACCGGTGATGGGGGTCCTGAAGACGACGGGGATTACGCCACGCTACGGGAACTTCCGCTGATGACGTCTCTGGATCCCGCCGACGATTCCACGTCCGAGGAGAACAAGGTATCGTTACACCGTCTTTTTGTTTCACTCGCAACGATCCTCGATCTTCTCCCTGGGTAATCGCGCTAAACGTCGTCCGCTTCCAACGTACGTCATCGCAACGTCTAACTTTTGGCTTTTAATCGAAGTTTCTTTTGCTTTGACAGTGGGGAAGATGGCTGATATCCCGTAGGGACGGTATACCTAAATTTCGAGACGTAAGACGCATCACAATGTGTTTCCCTTTTGTTTTATTTTCTCGTTTCATTTCAACGCATCGAATTAACGTTCGTGTGTGCGTGTATCTGTGTGCCTGACACTAACATTTAGCGTAGAGACATAGAGGTTTGGCTTTGAGGACAGTTTTCGGACGATAAGCGTTTCTAAAACACCAGAACAATTTGACACGATACAACATCGCGTCGCACGCAACGTAGATTTGGTGTACTCGTTTCTTAGAAACGCTAGAGACGTGGAATAATAGTTGACTAGCTGCACGTGTCGTAAAACTCATTAACCTCGGTTCCTCATTCGTTCTTTTTCGTTTCTCCTTCATTTCCTCCTACGGTCCGTTTTCGTTCGATTTTCAACCGATTAGAGCGAAAGATCGCGAGAGAAATTCGAGTTACGAATCGAAATTAATCGCTGAAACGTTTCAACAGCTACTCGAATGCGTGAACGACGACCAGGTGACTTACTACGCGAGCGCAAATCGCGATCTACAACCTTCGGAAGGCGACCCCTCGCCACTGTTGACACCAGACCCTTTGCCCGATCCCACCTTGGAGTCACTTCCACTGCCACCTCCGACTCCAACTTCTGCACCGAGCACCGAAGTTGTTACGACGACGCTAACCACTAACACCCAGGTACTAACCCTCTTATGAATCTTTCGGGAATTTAATCTCGCGTTAACCCCCGTGCTTTCAAAACGTCGTATCAACGTTCCTAAACAAGCGTACAGAATAAAAATCACCGTGGTCGTTCGTTTCAGACAAACGGAGGACAGACGCCGCGCTGCCTGCGTCGAGCAGATTCGGGGATGCCTCACGAGGAGCTGACTCCCCGTTCCGATTCTTCCAACTCTCCTCCTTTGGATACGGGAGGCGGAACCGGCTCGGTAACGGGACACAGCAACACCAGCAGTCACAGCGAGACATCCTCGAGCGGAGTGCACAGCAACGCCAGCAACGCGAGCAACGCCAGCAACGGCAGCTGCCAACGACGCGCCACCAGCGTGGACGATCTCACCGGAGAGCAGCGCAACTGCGACGAGTCTCGAGAACAGTGGAGGAGTTGTTCCCTCCAGCGAGGGGTCCAGCCTCCCACCGCTTCCGGTACCAATTTCTCGACGCCGAGCAGCGGTCGACCTGGTACTGGAACCAGCCAGGCGTTCGCCTCGCCGCAGTACGCGAACCACGTGCCGTTGTTCGTCAACTCGACCTCGAACGCGAACCTGAGCGGAAACGGGAGCGCGAGCTCGAACGCGAGCGTGAACATGAACGGAAACGCCAATCCTATCGAGGTCGCGAACGCGACCGGCGGTTGTCCGGCGGTCATCGTGGAGAATCCGAACGAAGCGACGGTGGTTATTCGCCGCAAGTTGTCGCGAACGAAGCTAACGGAGCCGCTGAACCCCAACGAGGAGCCGTTCGGCCGGTCGACTAACATGAGAATGACCTCCTTCACGGAGAGCAACGACGTCCGCGTGCACGCGTCCTCCGCCACTCTGCCGCATTACCCGACCCAGCCCGCGGTCACCTTCCCTCACTGCTCCACCATGCCGCTGCCACATGGTTCTCACGGCATGGCGGGCTCGCACATGGCCGG